CAGGTGACTCCAGGTGTGTCCCAGGTGTGTCCCAGGTGACTCCAGGTGTGTCCCAGGTGTGTCCCAGGTGACTCCAGGTGTGTCCCAGGTGACCCCAGGTGTGCCCAGGGGTGTCCCAGGTGACCCCAGGTACCCCCAGATGTGTCCCAGGTGCCCCCAGGTGTGTCCCAGGTGTGCCCCAGGTGTGCTCAAGTAACCCCAGGTGTGTCCCAGGTGCCCCTAGGTGTGCCAGGTGTGTCCCAGGTGTGTCCCAGGTGCCCCCAGGTGTGTCCCAGGTGTGCCCCAGCTGTGCCCAAGTAACCCCAGGTGTGTCCCAGGTGCCCCCAGGTGACCCCAGGTGTGTCTTAGGTGCCCCCAGATGCCCCCAGGTGTGCCCAGGTGTGTCCCAGATGCCCCCAGGTGCCCCCAGGGGTGTCCCAGGTGTGCCCTAAGTGACACCAGGTGTGTCCCAGGTGATCCCAGGTGTGTCTTATGTGTGTCCCAGGTGCCCCCAGGTGACCCCAGGTGTGCCCAGGTGCGTCTGTAGGGACACCCAGCTGTCTCCCAGATGCCTTCAGGTACCCCCAGGTGTGCCCAGATGCCCCCAGGTGTGCCCAGATGTCTATAGGAATACCTAGGTGCCCCCAGTGTGCCCGGGCGTGTCCCAGGTGCCCCCAGGTGTGCCAAGGTGTCCCCAGGTGCCCCCAGGTGTGCCCGGGTGTGCCCAGGTGTCTGTAGGGATACCCAGGTGCCTCCAGGTGTCCCCAGGCCCCAGGTGTGTCCCAGATGCCCCCAGGTGCTCCCAGGTGTGCCCAGTTGTGCCCAGGTGTGTCCCAGGTGTCCCCAGGTGTGCCCAGGTGCCCCCAGGTGTGCTCCCAGGTGTGCCCAGGTGTGTCCAAGGTGCCCCAGGTGCCCCCAGGTGTGTCCCAGGTGCCCCCAGGTGTGTCCCAGGTGTGTCCCAGGTGTGCCCAAGTAACCCCAGGTGTCCCCAGGTGCCCCCAGGTGCCCTCGGGTGTGCCCAGGTGTGTCCCAGCTGCCCCCAGCTGCCCCCAGGTGACCCCAGATGCCCCCAGGTGTCCCCAGCTGCCGCCAGGTACCCCCAGATGCCCCCAGGTGCCCCCAGCTGCCCCCAGCTGCCCCCAGGTGTGTCCCAGGTGCCCCCAGGTGCCCCCAGGTATCCCCAGGTGCTCCCAGGTGTGCCCAGGTGTGTCCCGGGTGCCCCCAGGTGCCCCCAGGTACTCCCAGATGCCCCCAGGTGCTCCCAGGTGCCCTCAGGTGCCCCCAGGTGTGTCCCAGCTGCCCCCAGGTGCCCCCAGCTGCCGCCAGGTACCCCCAGATGCCCTCAGGTGCCCCCAGGTGCCCCCAGCTGCCCCCAGGTGTGTCCCAGATGCCCCCAGCTGCCCGCAGCTGCCCCAAGGTGCCCCCAGCTGCCGACAGGTACCCCCAGATGTCCCCAGGTGCCCCCAGGTGCCCCCAGCTGCCCCCAGCTGCCCCCAGGTACCCCCAGATGCCCTCAGATGCCCCCAGGTACCCCCAGATGCCCCCAGATGCCCCCAGGTGCCCCCAGGTGCCCCAAGGTGCCCCCAGGTGTGTCCCAGATGCCCCCAGCTGCCCCCAGCTGCCCCAAGGTGCCCCCAGCTGCCGCCAGGTACCCCCAGATGCCCCCAGGTGCCCCCAGCTGCCCCCAGGTGTGCCCAGGTGCTCCCAGGTGCCCCCAGTTGCCCCCAGCTGCCCCCAGGCG